ACCAGGCTTATATTTTCTTGTTGAATTGATCCTTTTAACATTATGTAGTGACCTTCTTTGTCACTTATTATGGCACTTGTTTTGAAGTCTATCTTATCAAATATGAGGATTGCTACACCAGCTTTTTTTTTTTCATTTCAACTAGATTAGAAAATTTTTTCCATCCCTTCACTTTCATCCTGTGTGAGCCTTTATTATGAGGAGCGCTCTTGTTGACAAAATATATATGAGTCATGTTTTCTTTTTTCTTTTGTTTTATTACACTAAATAATTTTTATCTTAATTAATTAATTTATTTTTGTTAAAAGTGTTTCTCTTTACTCCCCAATGATTGCCCACTCCCCCTCCCTTTCCGCTGTCTACCCAGCTATGTTGTCCCTGTCCATTGTTCATGCATACATGCATATAAGTTCTGTGGTTTATCTCTCCCCACCAACCCCTCTTCTGGGGATAGTCAGTCTGTACCCCACTTACACATCTCAGGGACAACCCCATTCCTCAGACTGTTATATTCATTATATTCCACAAATAAGTGAGATCATAAGATATTTGTCTTTCCTCTTTGGCTTGTTTTGCTTAGGATGACACTTTCCAGTTCTGACAATGTCTTCTCAAAGGATAAGAGATCTTTCTTTCTTACAGCTGCATAGTACTCCATTGTGTATATGTACCACCACTTTTTTATCCATTCGTCTACTGATGAGCATTCAGGCTGTTTCATGATTTTAGTTATTGTAAATAGTGCTGCTATGAACATGGAGGTACATATATTCCTTCGGATTGGTGTTTCAGGCTTCTTAGGGTATATTCCTAGAAGTTGGATCACTGGGTCAAATGGCAGTTCAATTTTTAATTTTTTGAGGTAACACTATATTGTTTTCCATAGTGGCTGAACCAGTCTGCATTCCCACTAGCAGTGTACTAGAATCCCCTTTTCTCCACAGCCTCGCCAACACTTGTTGTTTGATGATTTATTGATGGTGGCCATTCCGACAGATATGAGGTGATACCTCATTGTTGTTTTACTTTGCATCTCTCTGATGATTAGTGATGTTGAGCATTTCTTCATAAGTCTCTTAGCCATTTGAATGTCCTATTTGGAGAGGTGTCTATTTAGTTCCTCTGCCCATTTTTAAATTGGGTTCTTTGTCTTTCTTTTGTTGAGTTGTATGAGCACTTTATATATATTGGAAATTAACCTCTTATCTGATATATCATAGGCAATTATACTCTCCCATACAGTGGGTTGCCTTTTCATTTTGATGATTGTATCTTTTGCTTTTGAGTTTGATATAGTCTCATGTGTTCATTATCTCCTTTGTTTCTGTTGCCTTAGGTGATGTGTCAGTAAAAATTCTGCTGTGTATAATGTCTGAAATTTTGTGTATAATGTCTGAAATTTTGTTGCCTACATTTTTGTCTAGGACTTTTATGGATTCATGAGTAACATTTAAGTCTTTATCTATTTAGAATTTATTCTTTTGTATGGTGTAAGTTGATGATCTAGTTTCATTTTTTTTTTTTTTTGCATGTAGCCATCCAATTTTCCCAATACTATTTATTAAAGAGGCTGTCTTTACTCCACTGTATGTATGCTCTTGCCACCTTTGTCAAATATTAATTGAGCATGTTGCCTTGGGTCTATTCCTGGGTTCTGTTTTATTCCACTAGTCTATATGCCTCTTCTTGTGCCAGTCCCAGGCTGTTTTGATTACAGTGCCTTTGTAGTATAACCTGAAATCTGGTAATGTTATCCCTCCAACTTTGTTTTTCTTTTTGAAGATTGCTGAGGCTATTCAAAGTCTTTTTTTTGGTTCCATATAAACTTTTGAAGTATTGGTTCTAGTTCTGTGAAGTATGCCGTTGGTATTTTGATGGGGATTGCATTGAATCTATAGATTGCTTTGGGTAGTATAGACATTTTAATGATGTTAATTCTTCCCAACCATGAACAGGGTATGTGCTTCCACTTTTTTATATCTTCCTCTATTTCTTTTTTCAATCACCTGTAGTTTTCTGCGAAAAGGTCCTTTATTTTGTTGGTTAAGTTTATTACTAGGTATCTTACATTTTTTGCCGCAATGGTAAATGGGATGGTTTTCTTAGTATCTCGTTCTGTGAGTTCATCATTAGCGTATAAGAATGCCATCGATTTCTTGACATTAATTTTGTATCCTGCTACTTTTCTAAATTTATTTATTAAATCTAGTAAATTTTTGATGGAGTCTTTGGGTTTTCTACGTATAGTATCATGTCATCTGCAAATAATGACAGTGTCACTTCTTCCTTTCCAATTTGTGTCCCTTTTATTTTTTCTTCCTTTCTGATTGCTGTGGCTAAAATTTCCAATACTATGTCAAATAAGAGTGGCGAAAGTGGGCATCCCTGTCTTGATCTTTTTCTTAAGGGAAATGCTTTTATTTTCTGCCAATTGAGTATGATGTTGGCTGTAGGTCTTTAATATATCTCATTTATTATGCCTAGATATGATCTCTCTATTCCCACACTGCTAAGCATTTTTATCAGAAATGGATGCTGGATTTTTTTGGATGCTTTTTTGGCATCTATTGATATGATCATGTGGTTTTTATTCTTCATTTTGTTTATGTGGTGTATCACATTTTTTGATTTGCAAATATATTGTAACAGCCTTACATCCCTGTGATGAATCTCACTTGGTCATGATGAATAATTTTTTTGATGTGTTGCTGGATCCGATTTTTAGTATTTTGTTCAGGATTTTGGCATCTATGCTCATCAGAGATATTGGCTTGTAGTTTTCTTTCTTTGTTGTGTCTTTTTCTGGTTTTGGAATTAGAATTATGCTGGCTTCATAAAACGAGTTTGGAACTCTTCCTTCTTCTTGTACTTTTTGAAATAGTTTGAGGAAAATTTGTGTTAGTTCTTTGAATTTTCGGTAAAACTCCCTCGTGAAGCAATCCGGGCCTGGGCTTTTGTTTGCTAGGAGAGTCTTGATTACATCTTCAATTTATTTTATTGTTATTGGTCTGTTCAAGTTTTCTATCTCTTCCTGGTCCAGTTTTTGGAGACTATGTATGTCTAGAAATTAGTCAATTTTGCTTAGATTGTCAATTTTTTTGCCATTTAATTGTTCATAGTAGTTGTTGACCATCTTTTGTATTTCTGTGGTGTCAGTTGTTACTTCTCCTCTTTCATTTCTGATGTTGTGTATTTGGTTTCTCTCTCTTTGTTTCTAGGTGAGTCTAGCTATGAGTCCATAAATCTTGTGTATCTTTTTGAAAAACCAGCTCTTTGTTTCATTGATCCTTTGAATTGTTTATTTTTTTATTTTTTGAACTCTGTGTCATTTATTTTTGCTCTGATCTTTACTATTTCCTTCCTTCTACTTGATCTAGGGTTTTCTTTTTGTTTGCTCTCTAGTCCTTTAAATTGTGACTTTAGTCTATTAGAGATTTTTCTTGTTCTTTGAGGTATGCCTGTAGTGCTATGAACTTCCTTCTCAGAACTGCTTTGCTCATCCCATAAATTTTGTGTTGTTGTGTGTTCATTTTCATTGGTTTCCATGATGTTTTAAATTTCTTCCTTGATCTCCTTGGTAACCCATTCATTGTTTAATAACATGCTACTTAGCTTCCATATGTTCAAATGTCTTTGCATGTTCTTGTTGCAATTAATTTTTAGTTTCATGCCATTGTAATCTGAGAAGATGCTTGATATGATTTCAGTCTTCTTGAACTTGTAGAGACTTAGTTTGTGTCCTAACATGTGGTCTGTCTTTGAAAATGTCCCATGTGCACTTTAGAAGTATGTGAATTCTGTAGTTTTGAGGTGTAAATCTCTGTAGAAATCTATTAAATCCATTTGGTCTAGTGCTTCATTTAGAGTCTCTGTTTCCTTGCTAATTTTTTGGGTAGAGGATTTATCCAGTGATGTCAATGGGGTGTTGAAGTCCCCTGCCATGATTCTATTGCTATTGATTTCTTCTTTGAAGTATTTGAAAACATTTTTGATATATTTTGGTGCTCCTATATTGGATGCATATATGTTTATCAAGGTTATATCTTCTTGTTGGATAGATCCTTTCAATATTATGTAGTGGCCTTCTGTGTCTTTAGTTATGGTCTTCATTTTGAAATCTAATTTATCAGACTTGAGAATTGCTATTCCAGCTTTTTTTTTCCTTTCCGTTTGCTTGGAAGATTTTTTCCATCCCTTCACTTTCAACCTGTGTGAGTCTTTTGTTGTGAGGTGGGTCTCTTGTAAGCAACATATAAATGAGTCATGCTTTCTTATCCAATCAGCTACTCTGTGTTTTTATTGGAGCATTCAATCCAGTTACATTTAAGGTGATTATTGATATGTATTTTTTTATTGCCATTTTCTTATTATTTTTCCTGCTAATTACAGCAGTCATTTTCATATTTCTTGCAGTGCTGGTTTGGTGCTAAATATTTCCTTACCCTTTTTTTTCTTTTTTGTCCAGTAGCTCTCTATTCGACCTTCTATTTTGAATGATAGCCTTGTTGGGTAGAGTATTCTTGGATTCAGATCCTTATTTTTCATGACCTTTATTACTTTATGCTATTTCCTTCTGGCCTGTAGTGTTTCTGTTGAGAAGTCAATTGCGAGCCTTATAAAGTTTCCTTTGTAGGTAACCTGTTGCTTATCTCTTGCTGCTTTTAGGATTCTCTCTTTGTCTTTTATTTTTGGCATTTTGATTACTCTGTGTCTTGGTGTGGGCCTGTTTGGGTTCTTCTTACTTGGGGCTGTCTGTGCTTCTTGAAATTGAATGCCTTCTTCCTTCACCAAATTAGGGAAGTTTTCTGTCACTATTTCTTCAAATATAGTCTCTAACCCTTGCTCATTTTCTTCTTCTTCGGGGCCTCTTATGAAGTGAATATTGTTACGTTTCCAGTTGTTCCACAGTTATCTTAAGCTGTCTTTTTGTTTTTTAATTGTGTTATTTTTTTTCCTTTTGGTTTTCTGATTGGTTGATTTTTTCTACCCTATCTTCTAATAAAAATATGTACTGCTTCATGAATTAATGTGTCAATCTTGCACAGGGGCCATGCTAATCTTCTCTGTATCATTCCAATTTGTACTATATATGCTGCTGAAGCGAACACAGGGGCATTTTTTTTTTTTTTTATCCAATCAGCTACTCCATATCTTTTGATTGGAGCATTTAAGCCATTTAAATTTAAGGTTATTATTAATAGATGCTAAGTAGTTGACATTTTTATTTTATGCTTGTGTTCTCTCTCTCTCTCTCTCTCTCTCTCTCTCTCTCTCTCTCTCTTGCTCGATTCATCTTCTTACAACAGTCCCTTTAACATTTCTTTCAGTGCTGGTTTCGTGAGAGTAAATTTCTTTAGGTTTTGTTGTTGTTGTTAAGCTCTTTGTTTCACCTGCAATTTTGAATGATTGGCTTGGGTATAGTTGTCTTGGATTCAGACCCTTGCCTTGCCTTCATTTCTCTGTATAGTTCATGCCACTCCCTTCTGGTCTGCAGTGTTTCTATTGAGAACCCAGCTGACAGTTTAATGAGAGCTCCCTTGCAGATAACTTTCTTTCTCCTGCTTTCTTTAAAATTTCTTCTTTGTCTTTAATGTTTTCCATTTTAATTATGATGTGTCTAGCTGTGTGTTTTTTTTGGATCCATCTTGCTTGGGAATCTCTTTTTTTCTAGACTTGTGTGATTTTTTTTCCTCACCAAATTAGGAAAGTTTTCTGGAATTATTTCTTCAAACAGGTTCTCTGTTTCTTTCTCAAATTTTTCTCCTTCTTGTACCCATATGACGTGAATGTTGTTATATTTTGTATTGTCTCAAAACTCCCTTAAGCTTTCCTGGTGCTTTTTAATTTTTTTCTCAATTTTCTGCTCTATTTGGGTGTTGTTTTTCTACTTTGCCTTCTAACTCACTGATTTTGTCTTCTGCTTTTTCTAATCTACTATTGAATTCTTTAAGGTATTTTTCACATAAGCTCTATCATTCTTTATTTCCACTTGATTTTTATTCATTGCTTCTACCTCTTTTTTTTTTTTTATGCTGATGTAGTTCCCACTGAGCTCTTTATAATTCTTATGAAGTTGCTTGTAGTTCTCACTAAATTATTTGAGCATCCTTAAAATCATTGCTTTGAATTCTTTATCTGACTAATTGCTTGCTTTCATTTCATGTAGTTCCCTTTCTGGTGATTCCTCCTTTTCTTTCATTTGAGTGTTGTTACTTTGTCTCACCATTTTAGCAGTCTGGTAGTTCTAGGCTCAGTGAGGGATTTTGGGATGTGTAGGCAGGTTGGTGGGTATCAAATAAGCTTGTTTTAGTGTATGGCACCTCTTGCCTGCTGTGGTCCTGAAAGATTGACTACTTATAGTTGGTATTGGTCTTTCATGGTAAGTGCTGCTGGGGTGCGTGCATCCAGCTGGTGTACTGCTGCCTGGTGGGGCTCAGCTCCTGATCAGTTTCTGCTGATTCTTCTTGGGGTAATTGTCAATTTCTGCTGATGTTGGAGGTGATACTTTCAGCTCCCAATTTTCTGCTGCTGTTGGGGGCTGAGGATGCTCAGATCCCATGATTTTGCTGCTGCTCAGGGGGGTGGGGGCTCCACTCCAAATCCACTCTTCAGTTGTTAGGGAAAGGTCTTGATTGCCAGAGCCTTGCTGCTGCTAGGGCTGGAGCACCACTCCTGATCAGCCTCTGCAGATTCTTCTGGGATGGGTCTGCTGCTTTCTGGGGATGGATTTCACTCCCTAGCCTCTGCTGCTGGGAGTGTGTTGCAGCTCAGAGCCTCAGCTGCTTTTGGAAGTGAGGTGCCACTCACACCCAGTCACTGCTGCTGTGAAGAAAGGTGCTGGGCTTTCAAGCAGGCACTACTGCTAATGGGAGTCATTCTTGGCTCTGACCAGGCTGCTGCTGTTGAGGGTATTGCTCTGTCTTCAAGCTGGTGCTCAGCTCCCTGCTGGTTGCTGCTTCCACAAGCAGGTACCTTGACAACACTCCTACTTTGCACTGGTCCGCATTGATACATCAGGGTTCACTGGTCCAGTGGTGCAAGGCACACTGGTGAACTCAGGTCACTTGGCCCTAGCTGCTCCCACTGCTTCCTCCCAGAGAAGACAAAGGATTTTCAATTTGGCAGGGCCTTCTGACTCTGCAATGAGAAGCACTCTGATAATCTGCTTACCCCTGTAGCCAGGTTGCCCCTAGTCCACAACACGGGAACCCTCTGTCCCACATTTCTGCACTGCTCTGAGGTTGTTCATTCACACTCATGTGCACTCACACTCTCTCACACTCACACTGGTCCTACCCACAGTCATGTTTTTCTCCATCTTGTCTCAGAATCATACATGCACTCTCTGCCACTACTCTTTTACCCATGCTATCTTCATATATCTGACATTTTATTTGCTGAATAGACTTGTTTTTCTTACAGTCAGTAAAAATGCAAATCCTCTAGTCAACCTATCTTAATCATTTCAGCCCAAATCTTCCAAGGATTTCCTTTGTCATCCAGTATAAAATGCAAAATCCTTACCATTACCTAGAGACCCGACCTGATCTGGCCAGTGCTATATCTTTGACTTAATCTTTTATGACAATTTTTTTACTCACTCATGACCTCTTTCTTCATCTTCAAATTCAGCATTATCACATCTTCAAATTTCTCTTCTGTATCCCTCTTTTAATTAAAAGGAGCCTTTTTATTCCATTGTCCCCACCCTGGACAATCCAGAATAATCTCCTTGTTCCAAGATTCTTAACTTGATCACATCTGTGAAGTCCCTTTTGACATGTAAGATAATGTAGTTACAAGTTCCAGGGATTAGGATGTCCACATTTTAGGAGATTATTTATTTTTCTAAAAACCAGACTTTCCAAATATCCCTTGTTTTATTTATGTTTTTCATCCAATGTGACCTAATCATTGGTCTCTCCTCTGAATGTCCCAAATAAAATACCATACCTTTTTTGCCCTGAATAATTCTCCTCCTTTCTTTTTTCATTAACACTTATTGGCATATACCTTTGGGTTCTATCCTTACTATACAAATGGGAAAAAACAAACAAATATAGAAATACAGTAGTAATTTAAACATCATATCACATAAGTGGAAATAAATTTTAAATAAACCTTTTCTTAAAATAATGTCTTTAAAATAAATAAAGGTAATTTAAATGTCAAACTAAAGCATAATACACATTTGTCTATTATGGATGTTTTTAATACAAAACAGAAATATCAGCATCTAATATAACAGGGTGGAAGGAAGAAATGAAGCAGAAAGGGAATTCTGATTGTGTCACTAGATTACTGTGTATTATTAGATAATATTTTTTGTTTTGTTGAGTCTCAGGCTCCATATTAACAAAATTATGATAATAAACACACCCATATTTACTTATTTTCAAATACCCAGGGAAAACTATGGCAGTCATGAGAACAACTCACAGTCACGAGAGCAAGGTATATGCATGCTGTCATTCCTGGATGCTCTGATTCTATGACTTTTGTGTCATACACCAGCATATGGCAGTGTTTTCTTTGCAGGTGAATCATTTTTATACATTATCAGGCTAGGCTTCTACTCTTGGTTTTGTACAGATTTAGTTTGTGTCCTATCATGTGGTCTATCTTTGAGAATGTCCCATGTGCACTTGAGAAGAATGTGTATTCTGTAGTTTTGGGGTGTAATTCTCTGTAGATATCTATTAAATCCATTTGGTCTAGTGCTTCATTTAGAGTCTCTGTTTCCTTGCTAATTTTTTGCCTAGAGGATCTATCCAGTGCTGTCAACGGGGTGTTGAAGTCCCCTGCTATGATTGTATTGTTGTCGATTTCTCCTTGGAAGTCCTCCAGAAGATTTTTAATATATTTTGGTGCTCCTATATTGGGTGCATATATGTTTATCAAGGTTATATCTTCCTGTTGGATAGATCCTTTCAATATTATGTAGTGGCCGTCTTTGTCTCTAGTTATGGTCTTCATTTTGAAATCTATTTTATCAGATATGAGAATTGCTACCCCAGCTTTTTTTTGCTTTCCATTGGCTTGGAAAATTTTTTTCCATCCCTTCACTTTCAACCTATGTGAGTCTTTTCTTGAGAGGTGGGTCTCTTGTAAACAACATATAGATGAGTCATGCTTTCTTATCCAATCAGCTACTCTGTGTCTCTTTATGGGAGCATTCAATCCATTAACGTTTAAGGTGATTATTGATATGTACTTATTTATTGCCATTTTTGTTTAGTGTGGTTCTATTTTTCTTCCCATTTCTACTGCTAATTACAGCAGTCCTTTTAACATTTCTTGCAGTGCTGGTTTGGTGCTAATGTATTCCCTTAGCCTTTTTTTGTCTGGGAAGCTCTTTATTTGACCTTCTATTTTGAATGATAGCCTTGCTGGGTAGAGTAGTCTTGGATTCAGATTCTTGTTTTTCATGACTTTGATTACTTCATGCCATTCTCTTCTGGCCTTTAGTGTTTCTTGTGAGAAGTCAGCTGAGAGCCTTATGGGGTTCCCTTTGTAGGTAACCTGTTGCTTATCTCTTGCTGCTTTTAGGATTCTCTCTTTGTCTTTAATTTGTGGCATTTTAATTACTATGTGTCTTGGTGTGGGCCTGTTTGGTTTCTTCTTATTTGGGACTCTCTGTGCTTCTTGAACTTGAATGCCTTCTTCCTTCACCAAATTAGGGAAGTTTTCTCTCACTATTTTTTTGAATATATTCTCTATCCCTTGCTCATTTTCTTCTTCTTCGGGGACTCCTATGATGCGAATATTATTACGTTTCCAGTTGTCCCATAGTTCTCTTAAGCTGTCTTCCTGTTTTTTAATAGTTTTTTCCTGTTGTTTTTCTGATTGGTTGATTTTTTCTACCCTGTCTTCTAATTCACTGATCCGGTCCTCAGCTTCCCCTACTCTGCTTTTTAAACCTTCCAATGTGTTTTTCATTTCGGATATGCCATTTTTTATCTCTTCTTGTTGGTTTTTAATTTCCAATTGGCTTATTTTCAGTGTCTCTATGTCCTTACTCATGCTGTTCAGCTTCCTCAAGATCATGGCTCTGAATTCTAGCTCTGTTAACATGCCTAATTGCTCTGCATTGATCTCATCTTCGGTG